TATCAGCTTTGATGTGGGGCCTCAGTTAAGGAGAAGATGGAAACTAATGATCACAAGGAAATTTTGAAAAATGAATATGGATTTGAGGGCGTCCCTTTCCCCTTCTATTTCTGTTGTTATTTTATACAATTCATTCATTCGACAAATACTTCATGAGTCCCTACTACACGCTGTGTACATGGATTTTCATATAAAGGTTGAAAAAATTACATACGGCTTATCATCTAGGAAAAATATTCACTATATTTGGATTTACTGTCTTTTATCAGTGGACTGCACCACATTCTTTCTCTTATTACATAAACACAATAAAACAATAAAATAGTTTTTCCTCCTTCATCTAGCACCGATCCTTCCAGATAACCAAAACTTCTGCTATCAGTCTTGAATTCTGTCAGTTCTATCTGCTGCTGGAAAATAATGACACTGGAATATTTGGTTGCATTCTTTTGAGTAAATTGTCACTCCTTTACATATTATATCTTTTTCTTTTTCTTCTTTTTTTCCAACTCACTGGTTTTCCTTTTTAATGAGATAGATTTTTAAGGTTCCTACTTACCAAGGACTACTCTAAACACAAAATTTACCAAAGGACTAAAGAGACATCAATCAATTGATTGATCATTATTAACCAAAACTACATTGAGGGTTTTTAAGACACAATGCTTGGGCTGGTGCCAATTATGCAAAGGAAAAACTTTGCATTTCTAAACCATAGGAAGATAGCTATTTAATATTTATAAGAAATGTTCTGAATATGAGAGAGAAGATATAATGGGACGTATGAAACTTTTCTAGAGAAAAGTACAGAATATACATAAAAAACATATCACACTTTCAGTTTAGCACTTTGTACTTTGAATTTCAAGACAGCAGTCAGCCAGTCACCACTCTCATGTTTGTTTCATTTAATCAAAGTCCAATTCATAATGACTTTTATTTGATAGATATTTAGAAGTATATAAAATTTTACATGCATTTCTGACAAACTGCAAATCAATGGGAAAAGATACTTCTTCCTTACAAATATTTTCAAATTATTCCAAATAAAACACCAAATTGTTGCATTATAAATAAATAGTGTATCTTTAAATAAAACTTATTAATAAATACATTAAGGTCTATGTTTTGAAAGATGTCTGTTTGCAAATATACTGATCTATACTTGAGTGGATATAAGCATTGTTTCAACAAAGAAAGTTACCTGTGCAAAAATAATTTCAGAATAGAAATAGTATCTAAAGACCAAAAAGTTATGTTCTCATCAGCTCAAAACAGAACTATTTCTGAAAATGGTTTTCAGTGGCCTTAAAGTACTCTAAAAACTTTACAGACATAGTACTGCCCACTGGCTCAAAGACGAGGGTGCTGGAATCTGACAGAACCAACCCTGTAACATTGGACAAGTTAATTAAATGCTCAGGTTGTCAAGTCCCTCATCTGTAAAACACCACATCCTTATCACAGAGATACTGAGGGGATTAAATGAGACAGTTCATGTAAAGGAATTAGCAGACGCCGTATAGTAAACATTCAATAAATGTTAGGTATGATGATAATGATCGTGAAGGAATGGGGATGACATTAATTCTCGAATGAGCAGGTATCTGCCTGTGTCCTGATTTACTCATTAATGTATCTATGTGTGTCTATCTGAGATTCACAAATAGCGCTCTGAAAACGAATAGGAAAAGACCGGCTTTTCTTAGTGAATATAAATCCATGACTCAAATTTTTTTTTTCAATGTCCTGCTGATGCCCCAAATCAGAAAAAGACGCAAAGCTGGAAAGAAGAATTGAGTTGTAGTACTTGCAACCTCAGGCTGAGAATTTGTGTAGGTACTTTCAAAGACTGAAGCCAATAAGCCTATTATACTGCAAACATAAAAGACAAAGGTTTTTTGTAATAAACACAAATTTAAAAGGGAAGGATTAAAGCATGAGTAACAAAAGGAGAGGAATAATTATTCTGTGTGGGGTAGGGGTATAAAAGGATTACCACCCACCAGGCCAGCTCAAGAGAATAAATCTCAGTTTTCAGCAGCTGCAAGGCTGGTGATCCTGTAAATATTCACATAATATTTCTAAAATTAGAAGCCACTGTTATAGAAACAAAAGAATGAAGTGTGCATGCCATGATAGGTGTATCAGTCAGAAGACAGAAACACGTTGGAAAAGCAGAGTCCAAACCTTGCAGTCCAAGAGAAGATATTTAATTATAGGACACTAGTTATAAGGGTTTGGGGAGAGCCAAAAAACAGATAGGGAAGGGTGAATGACATTGCTACCTCCCCTCAAGCTGGGAGGGCATGGAGAATTTACCTACAGACCAGAAACCAGGTCTCCCTCACTGAATCTGGTTCCACACCGAGGCTCAGACCATGGAGATGTACCACCCAAAGCAACAGAGAGAAAGGAATACATCATGGTATTTCCCTTCCTATCTCTTTCTAGTCGGCCATCAATGCCTCCCTTTGGGAGTAAGTATTTAGGAGCCAGCAAGAGAGCCTGGGAAAGCAGATGTCAAGGGATGGTTATAGAGATCTGAAAGCGAAGGAGCAAATGACCAGCACAATAGACAAAAACGTTATAGAATACAGTCATGTGCCACACAACGGCATTCTGGTCAGCAATAAATTGCGTATATGACGATGGGCCCAAACAATTATAATAGAGCTGAAAATCCCTATTGATGTCATAGCCAGTGTGATGTTGTAGCCAGTGTGACATGGTAGCTGCTTTAATGTCATAGCGCAACACATTACTCATTACTGCTGTAAACAAAACCACCGCACTGCCAATTGTATAAAAGCATAGCACATACAATTATAGTAGTAGGCGGTACCATCTAGGTCTGTGTAAGTACATTCTATGATGTTCACCCAATGATGAAATCACCTAACGACAAAAAAGGTACCACTCCTTTCACTTAGAGTTAAAGGGAATCCTCAGGACACAAGAGATGTCACCAATATTAGTTTTAATCAGAGAACTATTTAGAAAGGCCATCGAGTTATACCCCCCTCTCCCCAATCAAAATGGCACTGCTAAGATTGATAATCTCTCAATATAACCACATTTCTTTCAACAAGTAAGAGCATAAAAATGAAACCCATTTTTGGTAATTCTTCTGCTCTTGGATTTTGTATACCTGGAAGAATTAAAACACACACACACACACACACACACACATTGGGAAATATGCCTAGGATATTAAAAACTATACAAATACCATCTAATAATTTCCAGAGTTCATAAAGTGAGGTAATTGTAATATCAGGAAATAAAAGGACATATATTCTCAGGATTAAGGACTGCCCCAAATACTATACATACTGTCTTCACTTTTCTCGATTCATTGCAGCATGTGTCAAGTTTGCAGGACCAGCACAGAGTCACAGAGTGATGACATTAGATGATTTCACTGGGAGGGTCCCAAAAGGACCATATTGACTGGTAAGGCTGAATGAGGTCCTACGCCAGGTAATTTGTATAATCTTGGACAATATAATCTCTGATCTCATTTTCCTTAGACTCTGAAGATTGACTTAGAACATCCCTCCATCTTCAGGGTGAATGCAAAAATGTGAGTAGTGACTGGCTTAACTCGGTCTCTGGAAAGTGTGAGAACAGCAATCAGAAATACTGATACCTAACCCAGTGCGCGTTTTCAGGTTGTACCTGTTATGTAGAAAGTAAAGGAAACCTGGATATTTAGCAATCTTCCTTGACTGGGGCCACTGCCACTCTTTCTGTGCCACCTCTTTTCTCAGCTTACAGTCACAAAGCAATGTATCTTTCCAAAGTCACCAGAAACACAGCATCCACACAAAGCTGATGCCAATGGCACCACAGGAATCACCCTCAACTTTTTTTTCACCAATTCAATATAAAAATAGGTACTGTGATTAAATACTGCATAATGGAAGAATTTAATGTTCTCTTAATAAGCATCTTTAATATTGTTTTATTGCTAAATATCAATTCATAATTTCAAAGAAAAGATAAAAAGGAGAATACAAAAAGAGTTTTCACGTTATGCTGATGTTGGGATCAATTATCACCAATGCTAAATTTCTACAGAAAGTCAATATAGCATGAGAGAGAAATTGTGAAAATAAACTATTTATAATGTGCTTCTCTTATAATCATTATAGCCTGCCTATGTAAACTGAAAAATCTAAGAAAAAGTTCTAACCGATAACACAAAAGACAATTGGGAGTGTATTTCTTTCTGGTCTCATAATAGCAGGTATTTTAAATGCAAGTCCTACTCAGCTTTTCAAGTCCAAAGTGAGTTAGTGTTCTCGCCATGTGCTGCTTCTGAAAGAAGCCCATGTGGTCACAGTGTGTCACCTGTAAAAACTGTTCACCAACAGAAAAGATCCTATTATGTTTACACGCAGAGGCATAGCAGCACTCAGCTGGCTTAATTGCCCCAAAAGAGGTTAAATAATGTTCTGTATTGTTTGACCTGAATAGAGATTGTTAATCACCTTGAGAAAAAAAAAAAAACCTAGGCAAAAAAAAAGTGCTTCTTTGTAACATTCATACATTTTTCTGATATATTGGCATATACACTCTTAGAGACACGGTGTGCCATGCACATACATGCATGCACATATACACATACATGTGAGAGCATACGTGATTTCCTAGAATAAAAGGGACAGAAGGAATAACTTTAGGTTGAAGGAAAAACTCACTCCCAACAATTTCTAGATTGCTTTCATTAGCTATCCACCAAGGAAGGCTGTGAATACGGAACTTTGGCATTTTCTGGTCATTGTCCCTGTCATACAGCCCTGACCCAAAACTTGAGGCAGAAAAAAGCAAGCAACGAACAACTGCACAGCCCTTTGTCAAGGGAGCCACCTTCGCGGTGAGAACAGAGAAGAGCCCAATACCCTCCACATTTGCCCAGTGACTGAATAGTTCTAAGTTGAAACATATTTCAAGAAAAACAAGTCATTTCAAGGTCCTTCAAAAGAGCATCTTACCTGATGCGGCTGCGGGCTGGACCATCGGCTGTAGGAAGGTGCACCTGAAGACCTGCTGGCTGCAGTTCTCTGGAAAAGGGAAGGGAAAAATAAGACTTCATGCTGTCACACCAACGGAATGCACTTTCTATTTCTCACAACAAATGATTCAGTAGTCAGTGTCCATGGTTCCAAACATTAACCCATCTTAGACTCTGTGTGAACTTAATCTTTGTTTCATTTCTTTTAAAACATCGTCTCTCTTCATGTATAAAAACGTGGACACTAGAGTCAAACGTCTGGATCCAAGACTGAGTTTGTATTAGTTTTTAGACCTGGTGCAAGTCACCCAAGTGCTCTTCGTCACAACTTTCTCTTTTGTGAGACTGGAATAATAATGTTTAGTGTCACGGGATACCTGCGAGGATCCAATATAATAATAGGAGGGAGGTACTTCATACAGTAAAGTGCTATACACATATAAGGCATTAATTCAGCAAGGAGAAAATAAGGCAATTATAAATTTCCGCTTGAAACAAAAATGGCATACAAATTTCCAAGTTAATATGTGAGGTCATCTGAGAGTCGGTTGTTGTTGTTACATAAAACACCCTTCATCTTAGGAAAGACCTGACCACACCTTTGCTACCAGCTCCCTGAGCTTTGAAAATGCCACAAACTCACTAGAGAGTAGCTCATCCCAAACCATTCTTAACACCATTTTTCTTTGCTTGCTTCTATCAAAGAGGCTAAGAAAACTACATACTTTCTCAGCATTCCTTCCCTCTAGTTCTGGCCAATGAGACATGAGTATAATTACTTGGAGGGGTGGGAGGAGTTCTGAGAAATCCTTTGCTTTTCTGGTAAACAGGAAAAGATAAGGCTTGTATCTTCCCCATCACCCTTCTTTCTCTCGAAATATAAATACGCTACAAGTGGGAGCTGCAGCAACCACTTTGTCACCACGAGGAAAAAGCCAAGAGAAGAGCAGAGATGTTAACCCTAATCTTGTTAGGCACAGCTTTAGGCTGCTGCTTTTGCCTCTTCTCCTTGCGTAACTGACTAGAATCACATTTTCTGTTACTTGCAGAGTGTAATGATATACTCTGCTAGCTCATTCAAACTAAGAGTTAAATTACAAGCTTTCATCTACTAGCTCATTCAAATTGAGGGTCAAATGACAAGATTTCAATTTCTCCAATACGTGTGGATGCTTCCGGCAAGCAGAACATAATGACAGAGGCATGAAGATGTGAAAAGTGATTGGTATGTTTGGGAAATGATCAATAGGCCAACAGAGTATTGCCAGCTCTGGCATTCACTGTCACTGGATTCCATCTGCCTTTCAGGATCCCTGTGTAATTCTGTGCTGGCTTTTGCCGATTCTGACAGCTTTCCTGAATCTCCGCCACAGGGAGATTGGTGTGTGGCTAAATGCTATATTCTGCCTGCTCAGTTCAACCCCCTTCTAGCATCGGCCCATCTGAGGAGGCAGCGCTGGGATCAGTTCGCAGGCCCTCCCTGTCTTGCCTGCCCTGCTGAGGTTAATGGGCTTGAGCCCTACAGCAAAGTGTGAGAAGGGCATTGCAGTTTTCAACTTGGATAAAGGGAGAGCTCTCAAGAAAGTAGCTAGAAGCTCAGCTAAAAGCTTAATCACATTTCCTCTGTGAGGAGCAATAGGAATGAACTTCAGATGTAACCGGCTTTACCAGTGCATGACCACATACCTTCTCTGATGTCATCTTCCTAATTGTGAAATAAGGTTAAATTAGATGGTCCCCACGCTCTCTTCTTATCCAGCCCCAGATCAATTCAATTACATGTTACCCCACATTTAAAGTATATTAATGATTACTGATTACAGTGGCAACACTGAATATCCATGGAAAGATTGCATTCCTTTCCATATTATGTGTTTAAAATACCAAAGACGCTTCTCCTTAAACCTCGGTTAAGTAGAAAATGTTCGTAATCCAGGATAGCCCCTTGCCTGAATATTTTAACAAGTTCCAGATTCCCTACATTTTCGAAAGGAGCTATTAGCTGGTTTTCTGCACCAATAATTTGGCCTTCAGCAGAGTCCCCTCAAGTTTCTTTATATTATAACATTCTGGACGTCACCATCAGACTTTTTTTTTTTTAAGATTTTATTGGGGAATTGGGGGAGGGAAGAGTGTTGGGGAATCAGGGAAGGGGAACAGACAAGCTGCTGTCCCCCTGCTCTTCAGTCTAGCTGTGGAGGCCGTCGCCCCACTGGCCCATGTTGGCACCACAATCACCACGCTTTTCCTGGAAGAGGCAGGTGGGTCACCGGCCATTGGACAGCTGCTCACGGTGGCCCTCTGCAGCCCATGCCATGGCCTGCAACTCACGGCAGCCCAGCTCCAGGTCGAGCTGTAGCTCACCATCCTAGCTGCAGAGGGCAGTGTCACTGGCCCATGTGGGATCCGAACTGATAGCCCTGCTGCTCAGAGCTTGTGCTCCCAAGCCAAACCTTAACCAGCGAGCCACTCGGCTGGTCTCAGACTCATTTTTAAGATATCATGTTTTGAGGACAAATCTCATCATTGTTTCAAACCCCAATATAGGTTTCTAAAATAACAATAAATTTTATATCTATTATCAGAAAATAATACTTTGTGCTTTTTTAATTGACATATAATTGATACATATGATTGTGTGAGTTTAAGGTGTACAACGTGTTGACTTAACACATTTATGTATTACAATATGATGACCACCATCGTGCTAGCTAACACCTCTGTCACATCACATGATTATCATTTCTCTTTTTGTAGTGAGAACAATTAAGAGCTGGTCCTTAACAATGTTGAAGTTTATAATACAGTATTGTTGACTATAATCTCTAAGCTGTGCATTAGATCTCCAGGACTTATTTATCTGCTAGCTGCCAGTTTATACCCTTACACATCTTCCCAATTCCTGCACCCCACAGCCCCTGACAAGTACAAATCTACTCTGTTTTCACAAGTTCAGCTTTTTTACATTCTGCATATGTGACATCATACAATCTTTCACCATCTGACTTAACTCAGCACACTTGGGTTGTTTCCATATCTTCGCAATTGTAAATAATGCTGCATTAAACATGGAGTACTGGTAGCGCTTCAATACTCTTTTTTCATTTTCTTTGGATATATATCCAGAAGTGGAATTACTGGATCATATGGGAGTTCTACTTTTTCATTTTTTTGAGGAACCGCCATACTGTTTTCCATAGTGGCTGCACCAATTCCCACCAACAGTGCTTGAGGGTACCCTTTCCTCCACATCCTCACCAACACTTGCTATCTCTTGTCTTTTTGAAATCTTTGGGGTTTTTTTAATCAAAACAAAATCATGGTAACCAAATTCAAGATATGAGCACTGACATTCCAAAAACATTCTAAAGAACAGTGGGATGTGTAAACTGCAGGATATGACCTGTTACTAAGAAACCTTGAAGCAGGACGGGCAGAAGATGGGCACTTGTGAATCTGAATGCAACGATAACCCCATATGAAATGCACATCTATCTTCTCTTGATAAGTGTCACAATATTTTCATGCCCACACTTAATTTTTTCCTAAAGGTCAAACTGTGTGTCAGCACTAACATAAGTATAACTGACTTTAGAATACTAATTGCAGGCTATTGTGATTCACATACTTCATGTACTTTATAGTGCTAAGGATAAATGAGAAAGGCCAGAGAAACAACAAAACAACTGATCAACATTAATTACAAATTTTAAAGACATGACAATGTTCAGAATTGTACCATAGCCTCTAATAGATGTGACCATATTCAAAAAAATCAGTCTCATAGCACAAAACACAAAATCTGGCTAGGTTTCCTTGAATGTGTTTTTTAATAAACTAGCCAGAGTGTGTGGTTTGGATTTCAGCCTAGACAAAAACAAACTCACCTGACAAACCAGTTAAGTATTTTATTATTCATATCCACATTCTCCTCCTACTAGTGCCCTTAGCCACCAGTGGTTAGTCAAAGGGCCTTACTCAGATCAGAATAATGAGGCATGTTGGTTCAAAACGCCAATTCTCTGACCCTAGGAATTTACAAATCTCTGGAAGTGGGATCCAGCATTTTTATTTTTTAAGATATTGATTGATATTAAAACTTGAAGCAAAGAAAATTCCCCGAATAATCCTAGCACACCCTTTCTACTGCTCCATGCATCCATTGGAAGGGCAGTGATGATGAAAAGTAGAGGCATGAAGACCTAAAGATAATATTGAGAGCAGTTTACTCTAAACAGATAAAATGAACTCTCAAATTCCAGAGAAATATTTCTTGAAATTGTGGAAAGACGCTTGGGGGGAAAGAATCTGATTTGTAACCCACTGATATAGATTGAACCTTGAATCACCACAGACCAATTACATGGTTGGGTATGAGTTTCAGTTTAGATATCCAACCCCTGCCCTTGGAAAACCTTCCTGAATACCCAAGAATGGCCTTCTGCCCTTCTGCTAGATTTCCAGCACATCCATATGTACCCCTTATCAAACCTCTTACCACACTGTCTTGTAATTGCCTTCTAAAAGCAGCTTCCTTTTGTAGACTGTACATTCCACAATGCTATGGGGGGAAGAGGGGAGTAAGTTGGGGCTGAGTATTTACTTATGTAACCAGGCATGCCTATGCATGGAATATAGTAAGCGCTCAGTAAACATCAAATTAATTACTAGTTTCAGTAAACCTTATCCTATTCAATTGTGGCAAATATGAATATGAACCTGTTTCAATAAGAGACAATGGCAATGGAAGTTACATTCTTGAGAGCAAACACAATAAAAATTGGTAGGATTTCAGTGTCCTGAAGGCTACTGTAATTTCTTAGAAAGCATAGCACTATTGGCCCAGACTTCAAGATATTGGGATGCAGAGTTCCTTGATATGGCTTCATACAAAATAAAGTAACTAGAGCAAGAAACAAGGAAGTGGCAGACACCACTGTGAAGTTGAGAGCACTGGTTAACGGATAAATATTAGACCACATGAAACATCAGGAATACTGTGAGGTAACTTTGAGAGAATTCGGTCATCTACAAAAGGAGAGAGAAGCT